TGCAAATTAAGTGATATTCCCTGGAGATTTCCAAATTTTGCGAAAAAAATAAAAAACAAATGGCAGAGGGAAAGAGCTCCAGATGAGGTCTTAGTTGAATGTTAACACTTAAGGAATTTGACCACACACTTAAAAGTTAGAGAATACCTTCCGTGTCTCCATAATTATCTCTCGGGGTGAAAGTGTCATGATATATGTACGAGCTTGACTGTCTTTTTTGTGCAACATCGAAAGAGAATATTTTTTGAGTATGGTGACATAAAAAAAAAAAAACGTGAATATCACCTGATCCTTTCAATGCCGAAGTTGGCCGAAGTCAAAATTCAACAAATTTCTACATTTCATTTTGTAAAATGCTGAAAAACAAATAGTGCCAAGTGAAAGTACTGTAAAAGAGGTTGCATTTGAATGGTCACATCATAGAATTTCATCCGCAGATTCAAACCTTAGAACCACCGTGTACCGCATAATAAACAGTACCACAGGAAAGTACTGCTCAGTAGCTTTCGTTTGAATGGTCACACGATAGGATTTTTTCCACTGATTCAAAAGTTAGAACCACCTCACGCTAAAAGGGCTAAACAGCGATCGTGAATAGGGAGCCTTTCTTTTCTTGTGTCTTTTTTTTACTTCAGAACTGACCTAAATCAAACTACAAAAGCACCCGAAGAAACTATTCAAAGTGGCTGTTATCTTTATGTTCGTATATTAAGATAAAATATTTCCTTACCTTCTGTCGTGTTATCGGTAGATATTGAGTCCGATTTTAGCCTCAATTAAATTAGCTTTAGGAAACAAATGAAACAGGAACTTTCGAATTTATCACAAGTAATCTAACAGCTAGGATTAGTTTCAACAAAGATGGCTAAAGTCAGACTGACTGTCTGAGCTGAGATGTCTTGTCACGGAAATCAGGAGTTACGACCACATGAAGCCACAAGTGAAGCCAAAAATTCCAAACATGAATTTGAAAGAGCACTGTTAAATAGCTTATACTTAGTAATTACCGAGAAAGATTTCGTCTATTCACGTATATAAGGCTAGAGATATTTACCAAATTCTTGTTTGTCTTGTTTGATTGCGAAATAATAAACAAAAATTGCGAAATTGTAACAACACTTCATAAAATTCATATTTTGACATCTTTATCTTGACACGACACCAGAAAAAAGGAAAAGAAGCATTTCTCTCCAAAACTAAACCCCAAATATTGTTCCTCTAAAGCATGGATACGAAACGAAAAACATTTTTAGTTAACTCTGTCATGCCCATGAGGAATGTAGGAAATTATTTAATTCCAATGTGTAACGTACTCGAGAACCGATAGTACTATGGAAAGAAACTTAGCCAGAGGATCGTCAATAAACTCAAAAATAAAAAAAACTCGCTCGTTTCTAGGTCTGACTTGTGGAGTGAAAGTCGTTTTAGGTTTTCGTTCGCGCCGTGCTTTAAAAGAATGTGAAAGCTAGACCAGTTTTATACATTTAATTATAACAGTGAAGAATTTCTAGCCCAGACTTATTTAATGGGAATTCACGCGTAGGTATTTCTGACACCAATGTACTTAAAATAAAAGTCACTTATGGACACATTTCTTTTCTAAAGTGTCGGTTTGTCTTGACTATCCTTCAAAATCTATAGTGACTAAATGGAGTGGATCTAACTTTGAACTTGTGAGCATGGTTGAGCCTTTCATTCCTGACAGTGGCCTAATTGAATATACACACACACAAAAATCAAAATTTGTTTTTGTAAAATCCTAAGAATTACATAAAAGCATAGGATTTCACAGAGATTCTAAAGTTAGAATGACAAATCATCTCACCTGATCTTGGTCAAAGAGTTAAAGGGCCTCAGAAAATTCTTGAAGAATCTGAGCCACCTATTTTGCTAAAATGGGACGATAACATTTTAATCGGAAGGTTAAAAGTTTGTTCCTGTACTATTCAGTGTTTAATATGCTGTCAAGATGGATTGTTCTAACTTTTGAGGCTGTGGATGAAATCCCATGGTGTGACCGTTCAAACGAAAGCTACGGCTGAGCAGTACTTTACTGTGGTGCTGTATATTATGCTGTACAAAGCGGATCGAACTTAATGCCTGTGAAAAAATCTAAACTGCTATAATTTTAAAGTTTAAATGAAATCAATTTAGCAGTACTTTCATGCAGTAATGTGATTAAACGCTTTACAAGATCATTCACACTTTAAGTCTCCGCGCCCATTAATTGTACACAACGATGTGTTTGCGCCTGTGGCAAATAAAACCCGAAGTTACGACCGCTTTAAATCGCTTGGCGAGTCCTCTAAGATGGTACATCCTGTTCAGTTTTCTCGTAAACTTTGTTACCATGTTTGAGTATGTAACATTTTACTCTTGATAAGTGAATAACGCAAACCTAGCATATCAGACTAGAGACGATTTTCCTCGAGTGAAGGTTTACGATGTTGAAATGGGCGCATTTAATTTGGACTTAATTCTATTAGTACGTTATGACCATCTAAATAAAAGCTATTGATGAGTGAAGTAGAGTAGGTCTGCGGTGCAGAATCAAATTGCTTGTTTTGTGGATCTGTGGTAAAACCGTTCCTGTGCATGGCAAAGCTGAAGAAGGGTTTTACAGAGTATGAGCCAGTTTTTGCGTTGGCAAAGGCCTTGTAAGTACGGTAAACTATCGAAATCGGAATAGATCAGCTTGTAGGTCATGCTACTTATTTTAAAATATTGCAGTCGTTTCACCTCCAAGTTATTGTTAAACTACATATTTTTGCAGTAGGATTAGGTCAAATATTATGGTTTTATACATCAAAAAAGTATTTGAAAACATAACATCCAATCGACGACAGAAAGTAACACATGGAAGGAAAGACACTGCTTTGAAAGACTATCTATTGTGAAGGTTGTATTAAACCATTTCGCCTCATTTTACAAAGTAGTGCAAAACAAATGGTATTATGAGAAAGGTCTGCCAAAGAGGTGATATTTGCATGATCACATCAACTGAGTTCTTTTACAGTATCAAAAGTTAGACCAATTATTTTCATACCTCCACAAAATACTCTACAGCTGAGGGGGTTTAGAAAATTAGCAAATTGCACTAGAAAAAGACAGTCTTTCTTCTGAGAATTTGCTTCGCCAATTGTCTGCTTTTTTGCGACAATAAAATAATGTTTTGGGTACGACAAGCTCTGCTAGGACCTTCAACAAGGCGTCCGCAGCTGGCAAATACGAGGAATTCATTTCTTTTTCTAAAATATGCTACTTTTAAAACTGCTCAGCGAAAACACGCGTTAACGTCACTTTTTATATCGTCTCCGTTTATTGTCCCTAAGTGATATGGAAAACAGTGACCGCAATTCTAATTCTTTCTCAAAGATTGGTTTTGGGCTCCTACGACTTGTTATTTAGGAGAGGCTTGTAATGTGTGTTATCGCCATGATAGTAAGTTCTTACTTCACGTTTGCATAAAAAATAGATTAACTCTTCAATTTTTAGAGTCAATTAATTATTATATAGACGCGTGATGGAGTTTCAACTTAAACAATCCTTATGTGTGACCATTCAAATGAAAACTACTGAGCAGTACTTTCCCGTGGTGCTGTTTATTATGCTGTACAAGGTGCTTCTAGCTTTTGAGTCTGTGGATGAAATCCTGTGGTGTGATATTCAAGTAAAATCTCTTCAGCAGCACTTTTATTGGGACCATTTATTTTTCAGTATTTTTACAAACTTAAATTTAGATTTAAAAAATGGACTTTGGCCATTTTTAGCCGGGGTAAAGGATTGAGATAAACTGAAAATGTAGTAAGCATAAATGTTTCATTTATTTAATAGTTTTTATTGTATGAAGCCATTAAAAAAGAATGATAAAACATGAATAATCTATTCTGATATGAGATAAAGACGCTAAAGGAATTTGATAGAAATGATTTCGTAATCCCGGTTATAAAATGTTAAAGTTGATACAAGTAGAGAGATAATTACCGTATCACCGGTCTGCAAAATGCACGACTGCTTGATGGGATTATCCGTGAAAGACTGAGGATATATCCATGAGTAAATGCGATTAGGATGTGAAGGATAAAAAATTTTGGACACGCGATAAGTTTCATTGACAGCTGGATCCACAAATAGATCGGTTTAAAGTGGAAAAAAAAAAGGATATTTAAAAATAGCTTAAACATGGCACAATATGTAACAGATAAGAGAGAGAAAGTGTTATGTAATGAACTACTACACTACCCTTTATCAAAATTCAAATTCTCATTTGTTGTCCTTATACGTTTTCAATTGAAGTTGTGGAAGGAATTTGTTGAAGTATCAGTTAGATTCATCTTGCGTGATCATGTCCTCAATTCTCATGACCACTGTGTTTTATAAAGCAGTGATATCACTCTTGGGGCTTTAAGGATTAAGAAATTAAATAAATGACAAAATCACAACGTCCTGACAAGTAAATACGTCCCCAAAGCATTTTTTCAAGTTAGCCACAATTGGGATGAATTAAAAAAAACTGTCACGATAGAAAGTTTCCAAGTTGTAGTCTTCTTCACTTCTTATTCTTCGATTTTTCGTACTATTTTTGTTGGAATTCTTTGTGCGGTTTCAAATCACAGATTCGAACCTGTTAAAATAAATTTTCATCTGACAATAAATGCGTAATATAAATTTGTAGCTACTGCTGCAGAAAAAGGTTTGGTAAAACGCAATAGAATCGCCAAAACGTGGCTATGAAGTCTTCAGGAGAAATTTGCCTGTGTAAAAAGGCCAGGGCTTTTCTTGCGGTGATTTTAAATATGAAAAGGCCCTGGTGACTAGTTTCCAAGTCATGTGACTCTGCTGGGGAGATTGATGGAAAGTTCGAGGTACTTTTCTGTGCACGCGTTTTTTATGCTGCCCTGATAAAAAAAACCGTGAGGAAAATTGCCTGTTTTTCTGTATGAAACGCCGAAAGAAAGAATCGGTCTCTTGTTCACGTCTCCTTCCTAATCGTTTATTTTAGAAATTGTTATACAAAGAAGATAAACAGCGGAATCTTTGAGACTAACAACGGAGCATTTATTTACACTGATTCTTGCAATGTCTTGTTTCAGGTGTGGTTTAAAAACAGAAGAGCCAAGTGTCGCCAACTGGACAAAGCAGCGGAAAACAAAAGAAAACTCGAAAAAAAATCTCCACCAGGGCCAATTCCTTCTCCATCAAAAATCAACGAACCAAAAAAATCAAGTCCTTCGCCATACCAGCTCCCAAGCTGCAGTGCGAACATGAACGGGAACATGTGGAACAATTCATCGTCAATACCACTGACGCATGGTCAAAATTACCCCTCTCCTCCCGTACTGACAAACAATTCCGGCCCAGTGTTTATGCCTCCCCCACACCCTCCCCCTGCGCCGGGACCCCCACCTTATTATCGACAAACCGCTGACTGTTCCTATATGTCATCGCCGTATATGCACATGAATAGACCGGGCGAGCAACCGTATCCTCCGACACATATGTAATGAACGAGCTGTTAAAATCAAGCTATGTATATCTGGGCAAATCGACAAGGAGCGTCTTCGCGAGAGAAGCTGACCGTGCCGAGTTCAAGGCGAAGATTGCCGAAGCGCGGGTTTTAGCGAAGATGTCCGATTGTCACGCACAAGGATGGGCTTGGCAAAGGTTTTAGAGTATATGCTCAGTTGCTTTCAAGCGCAAAGAGTTTTGTTTTTAATTTTAGACCAGAGAAAACTGTATATAAGAATAATGAGCATCATCTTTTAAAAGATGCGAAATGAGAATTGTAACAATCGCGTTTAGAGGTTTTTATGACACAGTTTTATTATTTCGGAAACATGGGGTCAGCCTATGGAGAGATGAATCATTAGCTGAGTTATATCGCAAACAGCTGGTTGGTACTTTTTTTGGTCGACGTGAAATTATTTGTCTTTGTCATAATTTAATGCAATTCTAGAGTACCGCGTAATATATTTGTAGATCGTTTCTGTTGTTGAAAATATCACATTTTCTCTAACAACCAAACCTGAACTAATAGAAAAAGCCTATCATGATACAAACTAAGGATTCGTAGGAACAGGTTACTGACTTTCGGGGCAAACGTGTCAAAGTTAAAGGAGCTGTGTCACGGCAGTCCAGTTCATTTTGTTTAATTTTGCCAATTACTCGCCCTAAATCGCTACGGAACTTAAAGTAAACAAAGAAATTACATGGAAATGACAAAATCAGATATTCGAGACAAACAAATACGTCTTCTGAGCATTATTTTTGAAGTTGCAAACAGCAGAGATAAACTTTGAAAAACTGTTAGGCTGAACAGTTTTCAAAAACCCTTAATTCAATCCGTTTCAGTCTTCTTCAGTTTTGCCCATCCAATGCAGCTGTTGTATCTGTTGTGTTATTTTAACCTTCCTTTAATGTTTTAAACGGTTATTTTTATGTTTCTCTTAATTTAACGGGCATTTTGGCTGAATTTCGTGACACAGCTCCTTTAAGGTTGTTTACCATTTACATCAGCAAACCGATTGGTTCATGGTTTGAGCAAAATGGTAAGCCAAATTTAGGGATCATTTGAGGTTTCTGTGTAACTCACCACTTACCCCACCCCCAAGTCACAACTTTGCCCTTAATGAGAAGCAAGTGTTAATCTTGACTTAGGGGAGGGGTAGGTGAGGTCAAAGTTAAGGTTGTTTACCATTTACATGAGCAAACCGATCTGTTCACGGTTTGAGCAAAATGGTAAACCAAATTTAGGGATCATTTGAGGTTTCTGCGTAACTCACCACCTACCCCTCCCCCAAGTCACAACTTTACCCTTAATGAGAAGCAAGTGTTAATTTTGACTTAGGGGAGGGGTAGGTGAGGTCAAAGTTAAGGTTGTTTACCATTTACATGAGCAAACCGATCTGTTCACGGTTTGAGCAAAATGGTAAACCAAATTTAGGGATCATTTGAGGTTTCTGCGTAACTCACCACCTACCCCTCCCCCAAGTCACAACTTTACCCTTAATGAGAAGCAAGTGTTAATTTTGACTTAGGGGAGGGGTAGGTGAGGTCAAAGTTAAGGTTGTTTACCATTTACATGAGCAAACCGATCTGTTCACGGTTTGAGCAAAATGGTAAACCAAATTTAGGGATCATTTGAGGTTTCTGCATAACTCTCCACCTACCCCTCCCCCAAGTCACAACTTTACCCTTAATGAGAAGCAAGTGTTAATTTTGACTTAGGGGAGGGGTAGGTCGTCAGTTAACCAGAAACCTCAATTGATCCAAATTTAGTACCAGTAAATTTTGTCCTGGAATCGCGTTGACCATTTGCACAAATCAGTTCCATTTACCGAAAAACGGCCGTGAAAGACTGAAACTGTTATCAAGGATGGCTTTGAAGAAATGGAACACAAGTTTCCGCTTGGAACATTCCGACCAGGAAAACAGGACTACCGTTTCAAACGGAAATTTTCCTCTGAAATGACCCGAAAGGTCTTGTTGCATTTATTTTCTAACCAGATTTTCCAGAAACTCTTTGTTAATGATAGACAACCTACAATACTGAACAGCCTATCAGAATTTAGGGTAAGGATGTGCAGCTGCATAAAAGCGCGGGGAAATGAGCATTATTATTGCAGCTGCAAACCTCTATATAACGAAGTCCATGGTGTAACAAGCAGTATTTCTTCACCCTTATAAGAGTACAACATATGGACAAGAACCTCGCCTTAACGAAATCTCGTCATAGCAAACATATTTCGTCAGTCCCTTAGCCCTTCACTATGATGAGGTTCCACTGTCGCGCTATGCAAAAAGCACTTCAATCCAGTACGGGAAAATGTGTAAAGGTCAATGCAAAGTTAAGCATTAATAATGGCATCTAAGATTTCCTATTAGTACCATACAAATATATGGAAAAGAAATGTATTCAAATATAGGGGTACTAATGTGTTTGATTCTACATGTAAGGCTATTAGAACTTGTCACAATTAACCATCTTTCAAGATTATTATAATCCTAGAAATGTCTCACCTTGTCTTTTGCGAAGAACAGCTCAATTTTCATCTTTCTCTTTTTTAAATTTTGACCATATCGTTGTTCACTTATTCAGTTGACGCATGCGAAACTCCATTTGCTGTTGAGAATATCAGATGCATTTTCATATTAAAAATTTAAGGCACATAATTAAAAATCAGTTCAAATAAAATAATTTATTCATAGATATGTGTGATGGATGTGTCTTGTGAGGATGTTGACTATGTCTTGTTAAACCCATGAAATGCATGTATTGGTTCAAGTCTGTCACCCCCCTCCCCCAGCATGTGGGGTTTGGGAGGGAGGCCAGGTAAGCAAGGTAATTCAAACCTTCTTGTGTGACCAGCCCCCCCCTCCCGGGGAGGGTTTACTTGGGACTTGGGTTAATTTTTGCTGGGTATGTACCGCTGGCCCCTCAGAACCCCTACCTCATGATAGTCTATAATTTTTCTGTTGCCATAATTATTATAGACCTCATCTTAGTCAGTTTGGCAAAAAGAAATTTTCACAACCCCATTTTTCTGTTTATGCATCTACATTATAATAAACAATTAATGAATGAGACTGAGTATCTTATGAAGAATTATGGACATCAAGGAGGGTGTTATCCATCGAGGCCTTAGGCCGAGGTGGATAACACCCTCCGAGATCTCCATAATTCTTCATATGATACAAAAGCCAAATTCAATAATTGTTTTAATATTCATTCAAAATAATTCCTAGATTGAAAACATAGCTAAAACATGCTTACTGCCATCGATCAGATCAATGTTAAGTTCATCTTCGATTGTGCACGTTTAGGGTTGTTCAGCTGCGCAAATATTCTCCAAATAGCAAATATCACCCTTCAACTTGTCTTCTTGCTGTTCTTGTCATGTTTTTAGCTACTATTTCGCCTAGTTCTTACTCTTGGAACAAGTGAAATGTCCAACATAATTTTTGTTTTCACAACCAAA